GACCAGGTGCCGAACTGCCTATGAGGTGTCGGGCTGCCTGTGAGGTGTTGAGCTAACCAAGTGCCGAATTGCCTGTGAGGTGCCGGGCTGACCAGGTGTCAAGTTGCCGGTTCGGTACTTTAGCCCTTAGGCTCTGGGAGCGACTTGTAGTCCACTCCTAGACTTTGCCCATACCGAATAGGCAACTGGGTCTTATGCGATGAGGAAGTCTTTTATCAATTCGTCAGTTCGCGCCTGGGCCAGGTCGCCAGGTCGGCGCCCGCACCAGGTCGTCGGGCCCTAGGCCCAACACAGACCAATTGAAAGCAAAGTTGGTAGAGCTGCTTAGTCTGTTAGCTCCCTGCATAGTCTTTGAGTTCATACAAAATTGAAACTATAAAGCGAGAGCTTCAGTTTCTAAAAAGTGAGGACTTAGCTTTCTGGGAGAAGAGGACTTAGCTTTTTGTAGGATGAGAACTTAGCTTTTTGTAGTGTTTCCCATAGACGGCGCCAATTGATGTAACTGTTTCTGGTCACGTATTATTTTTTTTTGGGCTAAGTACCTCGTCATCCCTTCTGCTCCCAGGTGGTCGATGACTCAGGGGCTRAAGTGGAGCTCCCTAGTGTAGTGCAATCCAACTGCTCCCTGTAGGAGATGATCTAGTCATCTTTGTAGACGGCGGGAACTGGTTGCCTGCACGAACTGAATCAGAGAACCCGGCGGGGATACTCTGATGGCTAAGTCAACACTTAATGGTGAGCTGAAAATGATATTGGAGAATGAGAGAGCTAGAGAGCAAAGATTACCCTTCATTTTTCTCCTCATTGCCTCGTACCTTCACCCCTGGGGGGTGAGGTCTTTATATATTGGAGTCCTTGTGGGTTTGGTGGAGCAATTCCTGGATTCCCGCTATGATGGAACCTATTTTCGTGTTAGGTGGGGATAATGCCACCAACCGGTAAGGTTGCCCATTCCCGCCTAAATCGGGGAGTGGGTGAACAAATATAGCCGTTACAAGTCATAATCCCGTAAAATGCGGGGTACGGTGGTGAGCTCCTCGGGGTTGTCATGCAGTGGTCAGTCTGAATAGGAAGCGAGCTGTCTGTAAGGTGCCAGGCTGCATGGTGGCGAGCTGCCTGTGAAGTGCTACATGGTGGCGAGCTACCTGTAAGTGTTGCATGGTGGCGAGCTACCTATAAGTGCTAAGCTGTTTGGGTGGCGAGCTGCTTGTGAGGTGGCGAGTTGTCTAAGTTGCCAGGCTACATGATGGTGAACTGCCCGTAAGTGGCGAGCTACCTGTGGCAAGTCGTCTAGTTGTCACGAGGTGTCAGGTATCAGGTGTCATAATGTCATTGGAGGGCCAAATCCACCCTCATCAACTACCACATTAGAAATACTAATAAACACAGGTTTGTTTTATAGATGTAGCAATTGTTTTGCTTGAAACAATAAATCATACATGCTGGTGAAAAAAATACASAAACATTTTAATCAGGGGTGCAATTTTATGGATCGGCTGCATTTAGTTATACACTATGCAAAATTATGGTAGCACAAATGAATTAGGTGCAAATTCTGATTTATTTTGTTTCAAATTTTACCTTTGTTTTGTTCCATTGTAATACAAAATGACACTGCAACCAAACACAGAGAAGATGAATGATTTGCCCATCCAATGAATATTGCCTTAAATACCCATTTCTCTTAGGCTATAACAAATTTTATAAAATTCCTTATGAACTCAACTTTCCTTTTATCTTGTTTTTCTACCAAACCAAACACAGCCTTATTAAAACGAAACGTGAACAAGGAGGGCAACAATGCAATTTCAACTAAATTTAAGACCCTTTTTTGGTTTTCTTTATCATACACCACTCACCTATTTCTCATCTCCCTAATATTAGTTTTGGTATTTATTTTCTCTTTACCTTTCGCTTTCCAGCTTCTCCGAGACGTAACGCGCTTGAAAACTCTTTTTCAAGAAAACAATTAAACAAGATAAGATACAAAACCTCAAAAAAAGGGTCGCCTTCTGCATGCTAATTGGATCGGGCTGTTGGTTATGGGTGCTTTCTACCCGATCCACACACTAACTCATTCTTGATTCCGGTTGATGTATCAAACTGAATAATGAACGGGTCAGGCCGGGTTTGATGTTTTTCAATATAACCTTGTACCCGGGCAAGCCATGAACCGGCTCGCTCAGCGCTTTCAGTAAAATTGATACCCATCGGCTTCGGGTCTAAAGTTTCCCGATTTAACAAATCCCCATTTTCATTTCCATCCAATCGCAGGGTCTTATATTAATTTCAATCCACGCGGTTGTTTACGCTTGGCGTGGGGCCCTCACTTTAACTGTTGACTGGTTGTCGGATGGATTTCATGCTAAATAGAGGTGGATATATCGGTATATGTTCTACTGGATTTCAATCTGAGGTAAACAAGGAGCCCTCACTTGTGGGACCCTTGGTTGCAACAATTTGATCACGACGAATAAGGAAAGCGCAACCAAATTCACCGGGAGAATCAACTATCCAATGCTTGATTATAGAATAATGGGTAAATTACAAATAACCCCCTCTACTATGGGATTAGTGACAATTAATCCTCTGAATTTTTATTTGTGATAACAATCCCCTAAACCATCTCTTTGTAATAAATACCCCGTTGGAAATTTGTCTCTTAATTAAAAAAAAGATTTTTATTTAGCTATTTATTTTTTTAAAATTCCCAAATTGCCCTTTTTTATTTACTTTAAAGATTTATGATTCAATTGGTTTTCTAAATATAATATTTGAACTCCTCTTGGTTGCTAGATCATTGCAAATTTATTATTAGATTCAATACTCAAATGGAATGGTGGAGGTTTTTCAATAGGTATAAATTTAGTGTTTGTTTGGCATTGATGTCATTGCTCTAGAAAACGATGACACATCAGTGCCACATCGAAAAAAAACGGTGCTCCAGGAAACGCCTGTTTGCTTAGAACCGTTTTTCCATAAAAAATAGTGCTCCAAGCCACACCTTGGAAATCGAAAAAGTGTGGTTTGGAGCAATGTTGAGTTTGACGTCTTCTTAGATTGGAGCTCATTACTGCCAACGAGGACATGACGTGGTAGTGATATGGACTTCTTATAATGGGTACTAGTGCTAAAAATAGATATGGAGCACTGGTACCAAACAAAAAGTGTTGTTGCTCCAGAAGACGTCCTATCTAGCAATAACTTTTCCAAGCAAAAAAAAAAAAAAAACATCATTTTCTCAGAAAATGGTGCTTCCAACCCACACATTAGAAAATAGTATTATATCTGCAGCATCGATGCCAAACATATACTTGAGGTTTTGTTTGGTTTTTCTTGATTTATTGGAAAAAAGGAATGGATAATTTTTATATTTTAAGGTGAATAGAGACATTTAGGCTTCGTTTGGTTTGTGGGAAGATTTGGATGGGATGGGATGAGAATGTGTAAAAATTTAACTTTCCATTGTTTGGTTTTATATGGGAAAATAGTAGGATAAGTACCGCCACGACTTGATTCTTCGCCAGAATAAGAGAAAGATGGGAGTAATGAGAAAGCAAATCGTCACTACCGAGAGTTGCAACAGCGATCATATAAAGAAGGAAATTCAAAGAGGGAGGAAGATGGAAATAATAGGAAGAAGAAAAAGGTGAGGGAGAAGAGAGAAGAGGAAGATGGAGAGAGAGATAGACAAAGAATAGATTAGGAGAGGAGATCGTCGTTCCTCTGCCACCCCTATTCGAAGAGAGGGAGACAATGAACAGTGGAACTTAGAATTCAAAACGAAGGAAGGGGAGAAGAAAATGAGAAAGAGGGAGAAGAGAGAGAGAGGGGAGAGAGAGAGAGAGAGAGAGGGATGGAAGAAAATGGTGAGAGATGAGGGAGGTGGAAGGATTGTCGCTACCGCACTAGTTCTCTTGCCACCGCTGCCTCCTTTGTTCGAATAGGGAAGGTAATGAACAATATCTGGTTCAATGGTAACATGGGAGCAAAATCGAAAACAAAGGAGAAGAAGAGAGAAAGAGAGGGAGAGAGGGAGAGAGGGAGAGAGGGAGAGAGAGAGAGAGAGAGACCAAGGGGAAGGGACCATTGATGGTTTGTTGTCGCTGTTAAAAGGAAGGGGAACTGTGTTTGGTTCGACCGTGGTAAGGATACTCCTTATCGCTGGTTCATCGCCTTACTATAGTTGAAGAAGAAGAAGGCCCATCCCCCTTCCTAAAGCAAATGAAGAAAACTCGAGTTTTCTCGAGTTTTTTCCACCGGGGTCACACTATTTTGGTATGACCCTGATTACACGATTTTGGGGGCCCACATCCTACGTTTTTCTCATCCCATCCTCTATTTCCCTCAAAACAAATAAGAAAAAAAATGAATATTTTTGAAATATTTCTTTTTTTCATTCCCACCCCACAAACCAAACAGAGCCTTATGTTAGTGAAATGAAAATGAATGTAAAGAAACTTGTGTGTTCTATATTAGTGAAATGATTTTTATTATTAGTTGGTTTTATTTTGAAAAACGTGGAAGAATTTTTGAGTCAATTAAGGTTTAGCCTATATTTGATTTGGGTGGAAAATTCATTGATATAAAACTCAATTGATGGGTTTAAAATTTTAGTGGATCATTTGAGCTTTTTGATGTATTTATTGATAGAAAAGTCAATCGATGAGAATGTAGATGCGAACCAAACGGTGGAGTTTTATGTCAATTCCCATTTATACCGAAAACAAACACAACATGAAGAAAAAATGAAAAAAAGAAAATACAGATAGTTATCTAACTTAACGGCAAAGGCCTTGACGGCAAGGAGTATTTGTAGTAAAGTTAAAGATAAGGGGGTCTTAGTCGGGAGTTTGTAATTTACCGTAGAATAATTAAATTTTTTGGTCAAATAATTAAAAAAAATTTACGATAATACGTGAAAACGAAAATGAAAACGAGATAATATTGGATATAAATTGATTAAATTCGAAATTTCCACGAAACCCACAACCATAAAATAGTCCCATAAAATGCACCACCTGAAGTTTTTCCCTCCGCTCTCTCACACTTTCTGACTCTGAAGAAGAGAACAGAGTTGAGGAGAGAAGACAACACAGAGAATAGAAAAGTAGAAGGACAACCACTACGGGAACGATGAAACACATTTTCAAGAAACTGCACTTCGGAAGCAATCACGACCCCAATCGGTCGAACGAAGTACCTCCCTCTTTATCATCTTCGTGTGCGTCCGATCATCGTACAAGTTCATCCAGCCAACCTCCGCCGAGTCCTTCCTCCTCCGCTTCGTCACCTACTCCGGCCACGGCCGCCGTCGCTCCTTCAGTTATCGTCGCCGATCGGCCTGATTATTTTTCGTCCGAGGAGGAATTTCAAGTTCAGTTGGCCCTAGCGATCAGCGCTTCCAACTCCGAGTTCCGAGAGGATCCTGATAAAGATCAGATCCGTGCTGCGACACTATTGAGCTTGGGGCGTCTTCAGATTGACTCTGGGAGAGATGAGAGTCAAGCTACCGAGTCTTTGTCGCGTCGATATTGGGTATGTTGCTTAAATTGGTCCTGGTTATTTTAGGTTTACGGTTATTTTGCTTTATTTCCGTGCTTTTTATTCATTTGATTTTCTCGAGCCTTGCATGTTACGAGTAATACTGCATGATCATGAATTCCTGGTTTCTTAGTTTATGATTGCATGTTTGGAAGTTATACTATTTGGTTTGAAATGGAAAATTCAGCGTTCCATGGTACTGATAATTAGGGTAAACCTACCAATACTGTGCGATGCTTGGGATGATCTTGTCGACTTGCGTGACATATTAAATTAGATGTCAAAGAAAGGAAGCCTGAATATGAAATGATGTACGAAATTCAGGCTATGTGGCAATACAAGAATGAAATGAAGAAATTTAGTTGGTTGACAAGGAATATGTTAGCTAGGTAAATAAGGAAGAATTATTTTGGGCTCAATTGTGATTCTTGTTTTTCTTTCCTAGTTTATTTGTAAGTTTCACGGAGGGGCTGCAGCTCGCGCTTCTCACTGGGATGATGTATGAACTCACTCTAATTTGCTTCTGAATCAATAAACTTACTATTATTCATAAAAAAAAATGATGTACGCAATTGAAAAAAAATTGATTGACTAACAAAGTAAATGCAGAACAGCATAACCTACTAAAAGAGGTCATTATGGTCATTATAGAAATCAAATCAAATTCCATCGTTTGTTTCAAAGTAAATGATTGCAAGTGCTGGATGTACAATTCATTCGTGTGAATGCTCTAACTGAAGCATTTTAATTTGCCATTTGAAGCTCAAATGCTCAATAAATAATATGTGATACTAACAGATGTCCTAGCTATTGCATGCCATTGGTCGTACCACTACCACATGGCTYAAGAAATAATATCTGCTACTAACAGATGTCCTAGATATAGTATACCTAGTAATTGTTAGCTGCGTTGTGTCATCTGATAAGTGGTCAGAAACAACAATATTATTCCCAATAATAGATTTTTTTTTTCAAAATAAATGAGAAAAAAACCAATTGCACGAACCTGCCTAGCGAACAATAGAAGCAATAAGGAATTGAAGCAAAATAAGGAAAAGGAAACATTGTTCAAGAAATAGAAGGAAAGATAAGTCATTTCCAGAAGAATATAAAATGAAAAGCGTAGAAGAATAACACATACAAATCTTTCAGATTTTCCAACAGAATTGATTCTTCCCTCTACATCTTTCTCTGCAATAAAAGGTGATAAAAATGACAAAAGCACCATTAAAATTCAGAAACACCTATAAATAAATGCAGATGGAGATGTGGGATAAAGAGATATAAATGTTTGATAGAGATTTTCCCCTTATTTTGGAAGGGTTGCTTGTTTGATATCTCTTTGTTGGGTGTATAGATTTTAGAGAGGAGGACAAAAATTCAAAACCTGGATCAGAGGAGCAATGAATATAATGGTGTCAGATGCATAAGAATGGAATAAAATCAGAAAGCAGGAAAAATCAGAGACTTAGTGGTTTATCAGGCAGGGGACTTGAATTTGTCAGACAAGCAAGAAACTTGTAAACTCATAAAATTATGACAGATGGTTGAATGTAATGATACTGTATAGCTGCCTTTTTAAGTATCCCCATATTCTCCTGCATCATTTAAGAAGTTTATTTTTCACATCATATTAACAGGCACTGTGTGCTCATCTTTATGATCCCTCTTTCTCTCTCTTGCTTGCTCTCTACACACAGACCTATCTCTTTCTGTCTCTGTCTTTCTATCTACAGGCAAACTTAAACACAGTATGATCTATGAAGCTTTTTGCATCAAGTTGTTCTTTCTAAAAAACAAAAATAAAAAAGGTTCAGTTTTCTAGAGAGCTGGTTCAGCTGTTCCAAATTTGAAAATTACAAGGCCAAAGTAGTCAGTATCTAGATGTATTGAAAAAGTTGCAGTTGGCACATGTTGGATGATAGTTCTAAGTCAATTTGGGCTTCATTCAACATCCTGTATGTTGTATATAGATACTTTGTATTTTTTAAATGGGGAAAAATACTTGATGTTCCAACTGTTCTTATTCTTATACTGGAATGGCTATTTCAACAGGATTACAATGTACTTGACTATGAGGAAAARGTAGTGGATGGTTTCTATGACGTGTATGGGCTCTCCACTGAGCCTGCAAGCCAAGGAAAGATTCCTTCACTCACAGATCTTCAGAGAAACATTGGGGATCCTTCTTTTGAAGTTGTTATAGTCAACCGTGCAATTGATCCTGCCTTGGAGGAGTTGGAGCAAGTTGTCCAGTGCATTGCATCAGATTACTCTCCTTCTGAGGTTGGTCTTTTGGTGCAAAAGCTTGCCGACCTTGTTACAGACCACATGGGTGGGCCGGTAAGGGATGCTAATATCATGCTGGCAAGGTGGATGGAAAGAAATACAGAATTACGGGCTTCTCTTCATACAAATGTGTTGCCTATTGGGTCCTTGAATATTGGTCTATCACGACACAGGGCTCTGCTTTTCAAGGTGATGTATTGCACAAACTTATTTTACCTTGATCTCCCAAAACTAGTGTCAGGGYTAGGGCCTTTTGTTGTCAATTTAGGCCTGCTAACTCAATTGGTGAGGGTATTTTCTTTTGTAAGACTTTTTTCCCTCCAAATGGAGTGTGTACAAGCTTTCATATTGGATGGCCTGCTATTTAAAACATTATAGATCTCTCATATGGTGTTTGGAGATGTTCATTTGAATCACATTGACTTCAATGACAGTGTTGGATCCCATAGTCCATGCTAAGAGGTTATTTTTTTTAATAAATTCTCCTCACTCACTTAAGTTTAGGCTCATCATTTGGCCTTTTGTTTATGCTTATAAAGAGCTTAGTTTCACAGTGGAAGGTACTTTTTGACACTTGAATATAAAGCCCATACACACACACACCAATGGAAGGCTTTGCCTGAACATATAAATCTATTTTTTTAATATTTCCAGGATTGCAGGTTTTTTTTTTTGATAAATGAATGCAATTTTATTAATCAAATAAAGAGTGTACAGTCAGCCTAAGAGGAGGCAYGAGGTGTTACATCCCCCTGGAACTGAACAATATGCAAATAAACATACAAGCCTGAATTATTAAGGTAGCCCAAAACAGGTCTCCCCTTGATACCCCTTGTTTGGCCAGAGAATCAGCCATTGTATTTGCCGATCATTTCCAGGATTGCAGTTGAAGTTAACCAATGTAACTTTTCATTGATCTATAACTGATATCATCTGGTTTTTAGGGTTGCAACTTGGGTTGACAATTTGAATGGGCAATGCTTTGTAAATTCTTCAAAGTGGTTACCTGATTTGCACCCTTATTGGTATTTACTAAAACAAAGCTGGAATATTTTCTTGAGAGGAGTTTTCATTGACCAGACCAAGGCTTTTGAGGGCACTTTCTTTCGATAACAAAGGGAAAAATAACTCAGCCAAACAAGCTTTAAACATTAAAACGACAAACGCAATACAGAACAAGTCTGTTTATCAAAAGAAAAAAACGTTTTTCATTTTGATACTTTGACTCAGGTACTTCAAGAGATGACCATACATCCAACCCAAATGATTCTCTAGACATATCTTTAAACTCATTATGAGCCACTGACCAACCAAAATCATTGAACCAGTATCAGCAACAATTCTCCTCTTGTCGCTGCTCTTATTTTCAGAAACTCTTTTATTCTGCTTTCTCTCCAAATGCACCAGCATATGGCAAAAGCAATCATGCTCCAGAAAAAAAATGTTTTCTTATTTCTGGAAATATTTGACTATTTTGAAAAGATCTTGCTTGGTAAGGCTGGATCATATCTTGCTTTACCAAGTAACCTTGCAAAAAAATCTCCATAACAAGTCAGGAACACCTCATGTACTAAAGAGATATAATACATTTTCTTCTTGACACATGCACATTCAGCATTCATATGCCAAACAAAAATCCCTGCACTTTACATGTTCCAAAGTGAGGCTGTTTGAAAATAAAAATCAAGAAGTAGAAACTTTTGTTGATCTAATAAAAGTTAGAACTGCACATTTCATTCTGACATGAAAAGAGTTTCAAGATGTGAAGATGGATGATTTGTTAAGGGGATGGCACATTATTGCTAGTGTGGCAATTTGAAGACACAGAAAGTGATCAACTGGCAACCTCCTGAGACTGGTATATTGAAATTTAACTTTGATGGATACTTCTTGGGCAACCCAGGTGACTCTGGTATGGGTGCGGACGTGGGGTAGCAAGGGATGAAAGAAGCAGCATTTCTGAGCTTCTCAGGGGTGTGGGATTTGGCAATTCTCTGAGAGCAGAAATGATGGCTGTAATTCAAGGTCTCAAGCTGATTGCACAACACACTTGGGAGAAATATATTAGTAGAAGGGGACTTTCAAGCTGTTATCTCTTGGCTTACTTCAGATGAAGAATCTACTTGGAGATTTAGAGCTTTGCTTAGGGAAGCCAAATTGATCAGAGGCAGACTGAACTGCTTGTTCAGGTAGATCCCTAGATCGGCTAATACCTTAGCTGAGCAGGAGTGTCTGTACAAAGTTGTATTTGTGGATTACCAGGGCCTGGGGAACGTTTGTTATGTTAAATCTGTGATATTATGAGTTATGTGTATGGTTATGGTCAGCTTTATGCTGTTTGTACTTCCCCCTGCTGTCTGGCCTGGACATGCTTGTGAGTTTCTTTTTATACAAATGTTTCAATAAACTATAAAAAAGGAGAGAAGCCAAGCAAATGCCTTCTCCCTTGGGGAAGAATGGGTTTCCCCATGCCCCTTTGCGGGTGAGGTGTGCATCCAAATCTATTTAGGACCAAATTTTGGAGAGGGGTGATAAAAGGCTGGCATCATGGAAGACAAATTACCTTTTAAAGGAGATTAACTTAAAGTTATTATTTCTTAAAAGTGTCTTATTATCACTCACAACCTATTGTTTATTTCTCTTCCCAATTCCTTCAAGTGTAGCTGGGCTACTTGCAAAGACAACAAGAAATTTCTTATGGAAAGGCTGGAAGGAAGAACCAAAGATTTATTTAGTGAATTGGATTATTGGAACAAGGTGTGGATATTGACAGAGGATGGAGCTTTGGGTACAAGGAAGCTGAAGGCAGTGAACACAGCCCTCCTAGGCAAGTGGTTCTGGAGGTTTAATAACCAAGATAGCAGCTTATGGAAGCAGGTGGTTGCAACAAAGTATGGGAGAAGAAATTTGGGCTGAAACTCTAGTGAGGTCAACTCCTTATATGCTGTGCACTATGGAAGGGAATTGGAAAATCATACCAAGAATTTATCAAAAGAATCAAATACAAAGTTGGGAATGGATCCAAAGTACACTTCTGGGCTGATATTTGATGTGATGGGAGACCTTTTATGTTCCCTCAACTTTATGCCATATCTCGGGAAACACATTGGTTTTGGAAAATTATGAAATCCTCAATGGTATGGTTATGTGGAACCCAACCTTCAGAAGACATCTTAATGATTGGGAAATGGCTTCCATGTTTAAATTGTTGCAGAAATTGCAGTTTATAATACCCTGTTCAAACCTTGAGGATAAGGGTGGATGCTGGAAGGGTTGGTGATTTTACAGCAAGGTCATTTTATAAGCAATTGATGGACACAACACCTACTAACTTTCTAGCCTCCAAAATATGGCACTTAGAAGTACCTTCTAAGATGGTCTTTCTAGTGTGGCTAGCTACTTTGAATAGATGCTTGACTAAAGACAATCTGTAAAGAAGGGGAATGAAGCTGGACAGCAGAAACTGTGTTGTGTGATACCGGTAGTGAATCAGTCAATCGCTTGTTCTTTCATACCAATTGTTTTGGGAAACTATGGTCTGGGGTGATGAATATTTTTGGTGTTGTGGGATGTTTCCTGAAGTCGGTTGAAGTCTTTCTTCATAGTTGGTAGCTTTAAGGGTTTGAGCAAAGAAGGTGCGGCAGTTTAGAAGGTAGCCCCTCTTGCTGTTTTTTGGGCATATGAACCAAAAGGAATGCTGAGTTATTTGATAATAAATGCTGAGTTACTATACTCTTTTTTTTTGAAGATAAAGGAGATACATCAAACAAGGAGGGTGATAAGATATCACCACACAACAGCCACAAGAATAAGGCTACCTAACTTCAAATATCCAAATTACAGACTTGAAAACCATCCCCTCCCAGGACTTTTACCAGAAACAACAGAAAAACTTAAAACATACAAACAAAAACCAGAAAATGCCAACAGCTTTAACCCTCTATCAAACCTTGCACTACCAAAAGGACTTTCTTCTTTTCCAACCAGGATAAAGACAGGCTTGAAACATAACCTTGAAGGCAAAATAGAATTCTGCTGCAACTCTTAACCTTCCCCCTCATCAGCGGCCACTTCGCACCACCCCCATCATTCTTTGTCCACAATTCCTTCCTCTTCCCCTTTGCCTTCCTCCCAAGCCTCACCCCTTTCCCTAACTCTTGATTTGTTAAACTCTTCCCTTCTATTTTTTTTTTTTTTTTCAAATTGTTCAATTGCTTTTCTCACCACTGCTTCCCCCCTCTCCAATAAAAAAAAGAAAGAATAAGCCAAGGGACTTTCGATTTCCATTTGTCTATCCACTAGTCTATCAATACCCACTCTCCCCTTCTCAGAGTTACCTTCCTTAGAGAACTCTTCAACTCCATTCCCCCCTCTCTCTTTTCCTCTTCTTCCTTAAACTGAGATTCTGTGACTACAATATTTTCCAACACTCCTGTTCTTTCACTCTTCCCCCCTCCCTCCACTGCCACCTTTTCTATGACCTCCTTCCTAGCTATATTCTCTTCACCTTCCTTCTCTTCTGTAAGCTTTAACCCATTCCTTTTCCCCTTCTCCCTTGGTGAGTCCTCAACTTTTTAATTGGATGGAACAGAACCTGAAATCTTGTTGGCCAAACCTAACTCCAGAGAGGTTGCCTTATCTCTATCTTTCAAAAAGGTTTGATCTCTGTAGAGATAGTTGTTAGTTGTTAGTGTGTGTGTTGTCCCACTAATATTTTTTTTTATATATTTATTCCATGGTAGTTATGGTAATTTAGGCTAGACATATTGCTTTATATTTATTTCTGTTTCAGCAGGGGTATTTATGTAACTCCACTACAGTTAAGATGCAAACTATAAATACTAATCTGATGGGGTGGCAGAATCATTGAACCACACCCTTTCTTTCTCTCTTTCTTCTTCTCTTCTCTCTTTTCTTCTGTTTGCGAACTTCTTTTCTCTTCTTTTTCTACTGAATCTATGTCAGAAAACAATCAATTTCTGGTCTAATTTATCCAAGTCCCTCTAGCCTTGATTTTCGATCCCTTCCTTTTGTAAATTCTCTTGAATTTACAGCAAGGGCCGTCCACAACAAGCCCTTCCTTAAGCTGATGAAAAACTTTGGTCACATGAACAAGCTGCCTGTTTCCCGAACCTTTTGATTTTCTCAACTCCCTTGTTTAAAGTGTGTCGTTAACAGGATTATCCGAGATTCCTTCGATCCTTCTCCTACCTAAATCCATCCCCAAATATTCCTGCTAAAACCGATTTTCTCAAAACTTCCTCCTCGCACACCTGATCGAATCCCACTACACTCATTTCTCCCCTGGAAATCAGGTCCAACTCCCTGCTGTCAATCCCTCTTGAACTTACCTTACTCTTCGATGCATTGCCTAGAGCACTTATTCCATCCCCCTCAACCTTGGCTGGTTTGAAGGAAATAACTGTCGTTGAGACCCAAGAACTCTCCTCTACCGCAGCCCTACCTTGTGTAACACCATCCTCTGATTCCAACAAAAGCACATGAGATTTATACGGGATTATATCTGGGCCTATTTCAACCTTTGAATCTCTTAGACAATTTGACGAGCTTAGCTCTTGAGTATGAACAAACCTTGTGGTCACCCACTCCCAAACCTCTTTCTTCAGGGATTACTATACTCATGGCTAGGGATTTGTAATCTGTTCATAGGAAAACCATATAATTCCTAGTTTGCAAAGGAAAGTAAGTTCATATAAAGTGGGGAGAAACAGTTATGAATCTTTTATGTATATTTCCATCATAAAGTCCCTTTTTTGATGAATAACCATTGTACAGTCTCTTGGTGCAATGTGCCGATATATCTTTATTTTGATTCTGCAAATATATTTTCTATACCTTCTTAAAAAAAACTTGACAGTAAATGACCGATTAAACGTTCTTTCAACCTTCAAGCATCCCTTTGGGTTAGTGCTATATCCACTTCTTCCAGCAGCTTAAAAGGCTTAATTCATTCTTCCATTTCTCTATCAGCTTGTGATAGGTATCCATTCCCCAGAAAATGGCAAAGGGGAATTAAACCTTTCTCTATCAGTTTGATACTTCCACAAGTATCAGCTTGGGATAGGTATCCATTAAGATAACCTTTTCATGCTTTTTGCACCCATATCAGATGCAACCAGTGTTTTAAAAGCAAAAGGTGCAAGGGCCATTTTGTGCCTGAGGCGCAAGGCGAGGCGCGGGCCTTTTTGAGGCAAGGCGCACAATTTAAAAAAAGCCTAAAAAATAAAAAAAGTCAAAAAATTAAAGAAAATGCCAAAAAATAAAAAATTATAAAACATAATATTAATAAAAATATAAACTTAAAATTTAAAATAAATGTTTTAAAAAAATCTATTATCTAAAATTAAAATACATAAACATAATATGTAAAGCATATTCAAATGAGAATTTAAAAATGAAATCAAACATATAAAACCCACAATCTCTTTTTCTCAATTAAATCAAGTAGCTAATGTGACATATTACATTCCTAATTCTACGAGCCGCCTTTGTGCCACGCCCCTCGAGGCAAGCCCAAACAAGTCCATGTTAGGGTCTTAAATTCTGAGTTTTCACACAAAAAAGAATGATTTTATAGTTTTAATTGCTTTTAAGACCCTATATTGTTTTTTTGTGTGAAAACTCCGTGGCATGGGGGTCCGGGGGCGGAGCCCCTGGCCCAGCCGCTAGACTCAGAAAAAGCATCAAATTTTCAAAAGGCGCACGCCTGGGCTAAGGCGCAAGGTGCACCAGGTGCACGCCTAGGCGCACCAGGCGCATGCCTTTTGAATGGGCTGCGTCTAGGACCTGGGCGAGGCGCTTACCCTAAAATGCGCCTCGCCTAGGTGCGCCTTTTAAATCACTGGATACAACACTGCTCAATGTTAGCTGGGCGGTGGGATTCTTTGCTGTTATGGGTGCTATTCCTAACAACTTCTTGTTGTACTTTTATCTTTTTAAGATTTAATAAAATTCTTTGAGTTGCTGATCGAAAAAATATCAGATACAACACTGATACACATGAACATTTTTAGAGTAAACCTTATGGCATGCATGCTTTAAAAACATGTGAATTTTATATTTTACAAGCACATTATCACTTACATTTGGAAAGTTTGTAGATTTTGTAACTTGTAAGTTAATCACTTTTTAGAAGAGATAATTATCGGGATTTGAATAGCAGTAAGGGAATGGCTCTATGTGTAATTATATAACCATATAGTACTTGTAGCTTATCAAAGTGCTTGTTTATTCCTATGTACAATTTTTATTATCATTGATAATATTTAACAGTTACTGAAAAGGTCATTACCTAATGTTGACCCTAGCTACCTGGGGTCTTGGGAGGGGTGGACTGGATAGACCTAACCTTTGGCATTTTTATTTTCACAAAGTGGCCGCTCTTAGGCTTGAACCTATGTTCTCATGCTTGTCAGCCTGAGATTTTGCCATAACACCAGTAAATGGGACATCTGCAGCATTGAGATTTTAGAAATGATATTTATCTTAAAAAACTAAATACATGGTAATGTTGTATTAAATGGATATATCTGTTTCATGGATGCCAAGAAATGGAGAGTTGCATCCTTATTTCCCATACTTGTGTCCCTATCCATATCCATATCTGGGCATCTTAAGTTATGCATATATCTTAAAATATTCTTTTTTATCTTTTCATTATTTTCAGATTTAAATAATGTTTTCTTATTTTTTAATCATCAAGGTAAATTTTATCGATACCATTAGAAATATACAATATAAATTTACAGAGAAGTACATTCAGGTGTTTCGATTGGAGCCGGCCAATGCTGCTCCCCTCACTGCATAAAGAAAAAAAACACATAGATCAGCCAGATTTAACCTTTACCCCAATGGTTATTCATCCCTTACCAGAAACTGCATACTAGCTCTCTCATGAGCTAGTGAAGAATTAGGAAACCGAGGTATCGAGGAGAGCTTAGTGTTTTAAAAGCGCAAGGCGCAGGGGCCAATTTGTGCCYGAGGCGGCGAGGTGTGCCCCTTTTTGAAGCAAGGCGCAAAAATACAAAAAAAGCTAAAAAAATACCAAAAAATTCAAAAAAATATTAAACATAATATTAATAAAAAACATAAACTTAAACTTTAAAATAAATGTTTTAAAAAACCTACTATCTAAAATTAAAATACATAAACATAACATGTAAAACATATTCGAATTAAATCTTAAAAATAAAATCAAACATATAAAACATTTTCAAGCATGTAAAACCCACAATCTCTTTTTCTCCTCAATTGCATTACTTAAAGTAGCTAATGTGATGTAAAACATATTACATTCCTGATTCTATGAGCCGCCTTTGTGCCACGCTCCTTGAGGCAAGCCCAACCAAGTCCATGTTAGGGTCTTAAATTCTTAATTTTCACACAAAAAAATAATAGTTTTATAATTTTAATTTCCTTTTAAGAAGATATTTTATTAAGATGAATGAATGAGAAACATTAGCAAATAGGGGGTTCGGGGGTGGAGCCCCTAGCCCAGCCACTAGGTTCAAAAAAGAAAAAAAGCGTAAAATTTTCAAAAGGTGCATGCTTAGGCTAAGGTGCAACGCACATCATGCACACACCTAGGCGCACCGGGCATGTGCCTTTTGAAAGTGCTGCGCCTAGGACCTAGGCGAGGCACCTACTCTAAAATGTGCCTTGCCTGTGCGCCTAGGCGCGCCTCAGGTGCACCTTTTAAATCACTGGGAGAACTCTGCTTCTAATATGTCACCCGAGTACTTGCTTCTCTGATTTGATTTCTAAGGTTCCACAGCCCCAGCCATTCCTCTTTCAACTAGCAAATTAAAGTCTTGAAATCTCCTACAATCAAACATGGAAAGCTAGATGATCTAGCCAAACTTAGCCCCTGAAGTACAGCTTGTAATTTTACTCATATAGAATTTCCTTCTCCAATTGACCCTGGAAAGGCCAAACTTATACCCCCATCATAGCCTCTAAAAGCACTGCCTATTGGTTGAAATAATGTTTGCATATTCAGAAGGGCAGATAACTTAGCATCAAATAAAGCTGCAATTGGGCTTCAATTTATAGAAATAAGGTGGTTCTCAAAATAGTGGTGGGTAGTTGTATGTTTTCCAAATTGACCTTGTGATTCTACTTCCTTCTTTCTCTGATGCAAGCTTTTGTAAGCATCATTCATAAAAAACACCAAAGAAATTGTCCTAGATATTCCATTAAATCATGGAGTATGGAAATTTCCCTCCAAGTATTTAATATGAGTATTCTTTTGCTTCTTTAGCTTCCACTGAAGATTTCCTCAAGTTTCTGTTGAACATTGTATTATTCATTAGATTTTTTATAAGGTTTTGTTAGCATTTTAATTAAGTCCTTGCTGCTTGCAAAATTTGACTACTTGACTACTTGTTCTCTCATGTACCTTTTCTCTAATTGCAGGTATTAGCAGACAATGTTGGCATACCCTGTAGATTGGTTAAAGGAAGTCATTACACTGGCATTGATGATGATGCTGTAAACATTATAAAGTTGGAGAATGAAAGGTTACAACTTATAGTTTCCTTTCTTATCCTTTTTAGCTTGTGGATTCTTGGTCTGGTTTGCATCTTTATTTATTTTCTATTTTTCTGATGGAAAGTGTTCCTGGAGAAACAGTCATTCTTTTGTTTCAAAAACATTTAGTTTTATAAGTTCTTATTGTTGGATGTATATAAGTATGATTTCTTTTTACATTTAAATTGTAGTCAAGTTGACTTGAATTACAGATTTAGAGTTGTAATTGACTGGTTTTTATATGGAGCCATATGGGAATTGAGTGATCCTTTCTTCCATAGGTGATACAATTTCAGGGCCAAGTCAAGAGATTGAATGACAAGAATTGAATAGTGTGTATGTTGGTTTACCTCATTAAATATGTCCACTATTTTTGACCGTTTTAGTTGATAAAGCATCTCAAGCAAGGAAAAAGAAAGGCTAGTCTTGTCTTATTGGTAAAATTTTTTCAGTGAAATTACTGGTGGAAAAGACTCTTCTGTGAAATTACTCTGGATTCATCATGTCCAGAACTTCCAAACAAGATGGTTAGTTGTGCATTAGACTAGTGGGTCATTTAGTGAAGTAAGCTTGGGTTTATAGATGAGAAATTGTATTGAAATACTAGATTCCATAAACTCCTCTCTCTCTCTCTCCTCTCCCTCTCCCCAACCGGGTTTGCTAGTTGGTCATTCAGTGAACTTCCCTAAATGACCCAAGAATCTTCCGTGTGGCAACTTAGTTTAGGGCTTGAAAGGAATCCCTATACTTCTGGCCCCATCCTTTATTAATGGAAAAATTTTTGGCCCAAAGTTCTTTGCCAAGTGCTCAAAATAAAAAATTTTCTTAACTTTTATATGAAAAATGAAAACTTGGATGGAAATTACAGTCACTTACATCAGTTACATCACTCCCTCAAATAGTTCCCTTCTATTTACCTCTCGCTTAGCTAGTGCATTTGCTAAGCTATTTTCTTAATCATCATCATCTAAGCCTGGTCTTAACTAAATGGGGTTGGCTGCATTGAATCCTGTTTTTCCATTCTGTTCTGTTTGGTGCGATATCTGTTGTTAAATTATGGCGCTTAAATAATTTCTTTCACTTCCACCCAAGTCCTTTTCAATCTGCCCCTAGTTTTCTAGCTCCTTCAACTTGTAACAGATCATGTTTTCTAACAGGATTTTGAACATGCTATCACCCTAGTTATTTTTTTCCAACCTCTTTGCTACCACAATAGAGATTTTGAACATGCTATCTCCCTAGTAATGGGTCATACTATTGGCACATATAGTCCATTTATTGATTTCAACCAAGATGAACCCAAATGTATGGTAATTTTGTGCTTTGATACTTGTTGCTTTCCGGTGTAAGGTAAACTACAGATCCATAACAAATTGTATTATTTTACATTCACAGGGATTATATATTTATATGTTACTAGTGATTATTGTGTGCGTTAATATGGTCATTCAAATGTAGGCTTTACAGCATAACATAAAAGTGAACATTTTCATGAAATATTATCTTTGTTATTATTGTGTGTTAATATGGACTACTAATGGTCTAGCAAATGGGCTGGCTAAGCAAGGGGTAACATGGAATTCTATGTACTTGGGAGTTGGGAGTTATAGAACAGGAGGGGTGTTGTACTCGATAATTATTCTGCATGGTTGGTTAGTTGAGGTTGACCACCCTATGCCTTTATGTACACTCTTTTTAATTTATAACATTCGTCATTGTTATTGTTACTGATCAAAAAAAAAAAAAGTCCTACTCATAATGATCGATATTCAGTATTTGGTTTCCTTCGTCAAAAGGCCATAAGATAATGAATTGTGACTGAATACCCATTTATTGTTCACTAGTTCAGTGGCATGTACAAAATGCATGTGCATGTGGAGAGAGGAAAATAAATGGACTAAAGTTTTTGATAGTCATCTTTATTTGAGGCTGAGGCGAGTTTTGGCATTGTATAGTAAAGATTATAGTGTAGTATATTTCTCTTCAAGGATACAATTGTGGTGCTATTAATCTCTATGGTTATCAATCTGGTTCCTTTGGTAATGAATCATTTTCTTCACGAGGCAAGATTCCTTGCAAGAGAAAATTCTTGTCCTCGTTCAATGTATTTGCTAAGAACTGTGCCCTGTACATACATTTTAGTTCTTGTTTGCTTGAGCTCATTCTTGTGGAGTATTTAGCCTTGTTTCCTTTTCTGCTATTGTTTTTAAATCATTGAGCTCATTCTTGTGGAGTATTTAGCCTTGTTTCCCTTTTCAGTTAACAAAAGAAAAAGGAACCTCGTAATTTTTTATTACTTTTAAGTTTCTCTTAGTTATTGTTAGCCCTTAAATTAGTGGATCTAATATTTATTCTTCTGTATCCAGGGAGTTTTTAGTTGACCTCATGGGAGCCCCTGGAACACTTATTCCAGCTGATATTCTGAGTGTGAAGGATGCTTCCTTTAACTCATATACTCCAAGACCAAGTGAAACCCCAACTTTTCGTCCAGTTAATGAATTGGGAGTTGAGTACTCAAGACCAGAGCCATCACGTGGTGACTATAAAGATGGTAATAGGAAATCTGTTGCTGAGAATAATATAACAGTAGGTAGTAAACCAAGTCTGCAAGAAACAGTGGCAATACCTTCTTTCTCAGGTGCAAGTAGTGGAGTTCTGCCTACCAAAATTGGGAACAATTCTGCTGGAACATCCAAGAGTGTGATTCCTGATAGACAATCACATTATGCTTCATCTTCTACAGGTGTAACTTCTTCCCAGAACAAAGGAGCTCGTGGTGGCCTTGTTCTTGGTGATAATATGAAGGATCATCTTAATGTAATGCCATATTCTCAAGATACCATTGAAGACTCAAGAAATCTGTTTGCAGATCTTAATCCATTTCAAATAATTGGATCTCACAAGATTTCTGCTCAGAACAAACCTGCAGAAAATAAAGTTAATGACTACCAGAAAAGGAGAGAAAACTTTGCCTCAGGTCCTGGAAGACCACCTTTGCCGTTGATGTGGAAGAATCGTTCTGCATGCAATGAGGTACCCAGGGCAAAGCAGTATGAGTTTGTGGAAGGATTATTTCCAAGGAAAAATCAAGAAGCTAAAGATTATAGTGCATCGTCATTAGCTTCATCCAGCTCTGCTACTTTGGAAAAGGTCCGACCTAATATCCCTAAAATGAATGTTTCTGGGGTCTCTGGAGTTTCTTGTTCTGCCAGTACAAGCAATATTGGTGAGGCTTCTTCCAGCAATGATAATTCCCAGTTGGCATTAAGCTCAAATAAATACAATAGGCTACCCTCTGAAGAAGGTGGCAATCAAGCAGATAGGCCATTGACATCAATTCAATCTCCAGAGAAAAATAATAAGAAAGAGTATGATCACAGAGATGGGGAGGCTTTGCAAACTCAGGTAAATGGGACAGATGAAGACAGAAAAGATGGTATTGGCAAGCATGATCCTAGAAAGTGTATTCATGATCGATTTTTGGGTAGCACTAATCTAAAATTGAAGGATCAAGATAGTTCAAGCTCACTGTTTGATGCCCACCCAAGTAGGTTGGATCCAATGCTAGATGATGTAGCAGAGTGGGAAATTCCATGGGAAGATCTTGTCATTGGTGAAAGGATTGGACTAGGTAAGAATGAGGAAAAAAAAAGTTGGATGACCTGTTTTGGGTCTGGATATGAACATATGGCAAAATTTCTCTTTATCTTCTATCCCTTTAAGTTTTTTACTTTCATAATTTTCTCTATGAAGAAATAGTATTCTCTTCTGCCAGAGATGAAATCATGGATTCATCTTTCTCTATGTTTGTAAATGCATATGTTCATGTGCATGCACTTTTTTGGTGTGTGATTAATTGTTCTTGTCTTGTGAATAGGTTCATACGGGGAAGTGTATCATGCTGATTGGAATGGCACAGTAAGTTCCCCCGTCCCTCCCCTGATAATAAGAACAATCTATTACATTTTTTTTTAGATGTTCCTATTGATGTTCTTCCCCTTCCCTACCCCCACCCAATAACTTATTCTTGATTTTCTGATGAGGGAATACAGACTAGGTAATATAGGAGATAAAAGGCCCACATTTTTTTTCCTTTTTTGTAAAACAATAGTTTTGCTTAAATTTCTTCTCTTTTTTGTTTGAAATTGGTTCTCTTTACAAACATCTATTTAGGAGCTGCATCACATTCTATGCAAAGCAGAAATGTGGGGCAAAAAGTCATGGTTTATTTATTTGTAGGAGTTCTATCTACCTTCAAAGGCATAAGAAGCAGCTACTCTAAGTTGCATCAAAACTAGGACTGTCTAGTGAATATTATTAATGGAGTGAGGTAATGACTAGTTTCTTTGCCTCCCTAGTCCCTATATGATGCATCAACTAGTCGTTGTCTAGGATTTCATTAGTTGAACACAAAAAAAGATGTGCTCCGTTGAAGATTATGATGGAATTTCATATAATCTATGTATTAAATAAGATCGTGTGATGGAAAAGATATGAGAAAGAACTTTTAGCATAGGCATCCCTGTTTTGCAATCATAAAGACAAGGCCTGATAGGCTGAGAGAGATGACATTTGATCTGCAGAAAGAGGAGGTGGGGGTGGGGCAAGGGACTAGGGTTGCAATTATTTATGAAGAAAAAGGGACTAGGGGTGCAATTGAACTAAGGCAAGCCGAACTTCAGCATGTCTTGGCTTGGTTCTACTAAAATACTCTATAATTCAAATCCCAGTTCAAGTTCGTTTTGAATTCTATTTCCTGTTTGAGTTTGGTTCGATTAAATATTCGACAAGATCAAGTTCAGTTAAAAAATTTGAAAAGCAAATTAAGCTTGAATTCAAGCCTAAATTTGACATATCAACCCTGCTTTTTCACATTTCAAATAAAGGAGATATCAATAAAAATATCAATTATTCTAACACAAAACCTGCATGAATTGAACTAGAACTGAACATCAAGTTGGTAATATGTGTACTTGAACTAGAAAATAACGATAACTTTAAACACAAAATCTGTATGATRTCAGTCCTGCCTTCAAGTGCAACATGTTTTGCTTTTTAATTTTTGATAAAAATGACACTGTATATTCTAATATTATATGTTATATAAATTGTTTAATATATGTTATATAATATGTGTAATTGCATAGTGTAAAAATATCTATATATATAATAAATGTTTTTAGAATATTTTATTGGTCGAATTCTAGTTTGAAGAACTAATAGAACTTACCCTGAGGTTTGAACTTGATTAGCATCAATCTTGAATCGATTCTAATCAAATGCGAGCTCGAACTGTTTGATTAAAGCTCGATTCGATTTTACCCCTACTAGGGACTGTCTAAAGTGGTCCCTTGTTTATGCTAGCTTCTCTGCAACAACATACCAAAAACCTGAAAGAATTTCCGCAACCCTCAACCATGTACCAAAGAGATTCTGGTGCAGGACAGGACCTTTGACTTTGAGGTGATGAGGTTTCTTGCATTTTGTACTTAGAAGAATTGGTTCAACTAGAATTACTCTACAAGTGTTATTGGCATTGTACTTAGGAGTGGAAAAATAACCTATCCTTGCTTTAGGGTTTCTGTGAATCATTGCTATATAAAAAGTATCCTACCTTCTAAGAGGGTTGAAGAAATCTTGCTCAGTAAGCAAGCATTTTTTTCTCCATTACCTTGTGGAAATGATTGTGGTGCATAGTATTTAAATTGAGTTGTTAGTTGTTACTTCATGAGCAAATCTAGAAGAGTAGGTGGACAATTCCAGCCTAGAAAGAGGAGATGCTTGGCATCATATTTGATAAATTAATGAAAGATGTGAATCAGTCCTCTAAAACTGATGTAAACTTGGAAAAATTAGAGAGAAAAAAAGGAAGAAAAGAAGAGAACAGCAGTACAAGAGAAAGAAGATGGAGAAAAGAGGAGGAAGAAGAAGAAGAGTTCGAATATCTCTTCCCTCCCTTCTCTAATCCTTTTACTAAACTTCAATATTGACATAATTATAAGTATACCCTTGAGTGGGTGGCAGCCAGCTAGGCAGTAACATAACATAAGAAGAACTAGCAAAAAGAAATAACAGGCCCATTAAGATAGGCCCATTAGCTAACAGATAAATAAAAACATACTACAAGAAAAGATATTAGGGCCCATTCGGCTCAGTCTCTTTACAATGAAATATCTCAGTTACCAATAAAAAGGGTAAAAGACTTAAGCATACCCTGAGTTTTCATAAATTGACTTAAACATACCCCAAGGTTCTAAAATAGACTTAAATATACCTTGTTGACTGACCCCACTGGGCTTAAAGATACCCTTTATCAGTGAAACGTGACATGCAAATTCATTTAAAATTTTTAAAATCCTATTTTTCCCTTACCCTCCATTCTTGGATTATATGGATGCCAGAAAATCCTATGTTGCTGATCAGAAAGAAAAGAGACATTTTCCTAATTAACCACGTTTTTTTTATCTCACGATTCACTTATTTGTCAAGCAGCATGATTGGAAACGTTATTCCTTTTTCTCAGAAAAAAATAAAGTATAATCTCTGAGTGCAACTCAAAAAACCTTATCCCAACTCTCAGGGTACATAGGTTTCATGAATGCTCAAATTATCTCTTACTTAGTACTATGACGACCTGTTTTCTTTTTTATAAAAAAGGAACAAATGGTTTTGTTTCTTCTAATAATAAGACAAAATCTGCTGCTCAAATAATAAGATGAAATCTTCCTGCAGTCACAAAATCCAAGAATGAGGCGATGAGTTTAGACTTTAGACACTGAAAGGAAGAAGCGAGAGCCAGGATGAGAGAGAGAGAAGGGGGGTCCAAGTGTGATCATGATGAGGCAGTGTAGATAGTGTCTTCCATTTGGTTCTTTTTTGAAAATGTGAAAGAAAACAAAGGGTAAAAGAGTTACAAGGTATGTTTAAGTCCATTTTAAAAACTCAGGGTATGTTTAAGTCTTTTACCAAAAAAAGTATTTGCAAACTCAGGGTATGTTTAAGTTCATTAATTATTGTGATAATTAATGAATTAATGAATTGTGTTATTGATAAAAAAAAATCCTCTTTAGCAAGGAGATCACAGTCACTTTGCTGTTGTTTCATTTACTGATGAGACGATGAAAAATGATCTTGTCATCTTTTTAGAGATTTACATCACAGGCAACTCATTTTCTTACAACCAAACAAACAACAATAAAATTAGAATTTGACATGAGAAGAGAAGATCTGCTTTTCTACACAAACAACTATATAATAAAAGGTCAAAATAACTAAAATACCTTCATGGGCAGTGTTTTTGCTGTTTTAGTAGTATGTATTTTCCAAGATGGACTGGGTTATTCTCCATAGACTGACATATAGTGGAGACATTGGCTAAGTTGGGATTTATGTGCTGCAGAGGGACATATTCCTGTAAATGAGAAGGGATTATCCCTATATGAGATATAAATCTGTCTCTATTCTATTCAATTGTGTTGCAGAGGGGCATACTCCTGATGTATTGACATCTTTCCTTGACACTGACAGGCAATTAACTGTGGACCTTGTCTTGGAATTGTAGAAGTAGATCAATTAATGAAGTTGTTTGATTTTCTTTGACAGAATATTGGATATCCTCCTTTGAACTATTGCATTAGTGTTTCCATCTAGGGATGCCAATGGCACAGGTTGATCAGGGACACCTCACCCCTCCCCTGTTGAGAGAGGTTTAGTACGCTCCTAATTGGACTAGACTCTGGTTTCGGTTGGAGTGTCAAGTCATAACGGGTTTAGGTTATGATATATCTTTGCCCTTGTTTTACTTTGTCATATATATTTCAAGCACTTTTACTTTCTTTCCTATTACTTCTTTTTATATATATTATCATGTCTCATCTCTTGTCTTGCCCCACCTTGCCCTGTCTTTATAAATCATAACATGTTGGCCCAGTCAATTCATATGATGGGTGGGTTTGGGTTGGGTATAGTCTCGTTAAATTGCGTCCAGTTTAGGCTAACTCCTTGACATATCCCCATTTCCTTCTTCTCTGGTTTCTCAGATGTAAATCCCTTTATTTTCCCTTTGTTGGCACCAGTGTCTGTGGTTATTCTTTTTTGTATGGTGCTGCTTTGGTTGGCTTTCTGTATACAGTCTTGCAAATAGAGGTTTTGCCTCTTTTCTTTTTCAACAGAATCTTCACTTATCAGGAGAAGAAGGAATCAAGAAGTTTTCTATTTGCCACATGTTTTGTTTTTATTCAGAAATCCAATCTTTCTATGGGATTGGTTGTGGTGATGCTAATGGCATGTCTTCCTTTGACATGGCAATAATTCAAGAGATTTTCTAGTGATCTCTAGGGATCTTCTATTATGGTTCACTTGAATTATACCAATAAATGAAGAATTTTCAAATTATACGACATGGAAATGTTTAGAACAATATAGAGTATTATGAAATGAAGCAGTTCATTTTTTCTATGGTTTACTTCTCATTTTCCAAGTTCAATAGTGAATGTTTCTGTTTGTCTAATAACTCTGGGAGATATTTTAGTGATTAACTCTTTAAAACTGTTCTAAACCAATCAAAGTAATATACTATATGGTTCTGATTATCTATTGTTTAACCACAGGAGGTAGCTGTGAAGAAGTTTTTAGACCAGGATTTCTCAGGCGATGCTTTGGATGAATTCAGAAGTGAAGTAAGTGTCAAGTTATCCTTTCATGTCTGCATTCTTTTGGTGATCAAAATGGAACCTATTGCTGGAGCTCTTTCCTTGATCAACAATTATTAACCAAGCAATCTGGTGTTTTGCTTTTAAATGTCAGGTACGAATCATGCGCAGGTTACGCCATCCAAATGTTGTTCTTTTCATGGGTGCTGTGACTCGCCCACCTAATCTCTCTATTGTCACCGAGTTTCTTCCTAGGTATGTTTTGATGCTTCCTTTTTCCCTCTGGTTACTTACCTTCAAATTTGGACCACTGTCTTGCAGAAGAAAAAAAGAAAGCATTGTTGTGATTGTCTGTAGCTTGAACTAGGCTGATTGTACTCTTCCTTACTCTTTTTTAAAATTATTTGTTACTACTTCAATGCATGTCCTATTTGGTCATGGGTTATAATTGTTGGCTTTTAGGCAATATTGTTATACATTTTCTTTAGTTTTTCAGAAGTTTGTGAGGTGTTCTCTTTTAAACTATTCTGATTTTCCAGGGGAAGCTTATACCGTATTCTTCATCGTCCTAATTGTCAAATTGACGAGAAGCGCAGAATAAAAATGGCTCTTGATGTGGTATGAAATAATCAAACATGTATACCCTACCTTTGACCAATTTTTTTCTTTGTAATTTTTAATTGTTTATGGCTTTATTTGCTATTAATTTGTTCTTTAATTCTTCTAACTTAAGGAACTTTCAATGTTGTGCAGGCTAAGGGTATGAATTGCTTGCACACTAGCACACCAACAATTGTCCACCGTGATCTGAAGTCACCAAATTTATTGGTTGATAAGAATTGGAATGTAAAGGTAGGAAGTTTTTGTAGTATTCTGTGTATTCTTTTATTTTTAGTGTTTACTAGCTTATGCAAAGGTCCATATGATGAGTAGCAACACATTTAATTTGGAAGGAACAGTGGTTATTCCAATGTTGAACTCTATTCAGTTTGTCCAGTGAGGTCAACTTGGATTTGCTAAAACGCTGTCTAGGTTGTTAAAATTGTGAACATATAATGTTCTAATAAATCTATTTCCCTAGATATAATGCAAAGTGCTTTTTCATTTTTGTTTTTCACCTTCTAAAGATATTTTGGCTTATGGTACATTCATCAATTTTTCTGTAATTTAGACCTTATCTATTATATATTAATTCTTATTGTTTCTTTTTTGATCAGCAACAAGAAAGAAGATTTCATTTGTTAATTTACTATCTATTGTGCATTAATTCTTATTTTATGGTTCTGCAAACCGTATCATGCATATTTTGTCCTTATGCATGAATTATTTGTAACTACATTAGTAATTTAGTTTTAAAAAGTGCAAAAGTTGCTATTTTAGAAAAATTGCATATGGAAATTCAAATCCTTTATGTGATACATGCATTTCATAGTTCAAATAGGTTGTTTCTTGACTTATTCTCTTATTTTTTGACTAGACAACCACTTTTCGTATGCATCCCTGGTCAACTATGTTGTGGGCTGGCCTTTGTGCATCATCTTCCGAGGAATAGGATGGTGATGCATTTAATGCGAATCTACTGGATTCTTTAGGATCCAACGCAATTATTAATGAAGTGCTTCTGCTTTGTTAGTTTGGCTTTGTATTGTGTTCTGGCTATATTTTTCATCATAAACAATTTTTTCTTCTTGATTAAAAAAGTACTTACTGTATCATGTCAAAATTATATACCAAGAAACAAGAGTTGAACCCTTGTCATTCATTTCAAAGGTAGCACCTTAACCATCTAGCCGCCACTAATATTTGAGTTATGAATTGCACAATTTATTATCTATATTTGTTTTGCAACTCATGGTCGAACTGTTTGACCCGTGACCTGGCAAGAATTTTCCAGTTTTGTGTCTGGCCTGAGTCTTAAAACACTGTGTACTATAGTTGGGATAATGCTTGGATGATGATGATGCAGGTTATACTTTGACATATGCATGCATAATTGATAAGAAAAATATGGGTTTATTTTATGGATAAATAAGAAAAGATGGTTTTATGTGCATACATATCTACATATGCATTTATGCAGTGTTTATGCCTATCTGTCTGCACATATGTATCTCATTGGGAAAATAAAACATTGTATGTTATCATAATCTGTGCAAGGTGATTAGGTGACTCCTGGAACTGACTAGGCAATCTGGTATGAGAAACTTAAAAAAAAAAGTTGCAGTTTTGATAATAGATACATATGCTTGTCAAAAAATTTTAATGATAACCTAGAATCTACATTTAGGTGAAAATAAAAGCCTGGCAGTAAGGTGCCAACCAGCTGGTTGGTAAGGTCTCCTGCTGGTTGTAGCGGAGACTTGGGATCGAATCCTGCCTGCACCTGGGTTGGGGGATGGGCTACCCCCCCGTTGTGTAGCCCTTCAAAAGAAATAAAAGAATCCTGGCACATTTAATGAGACATGTGTAAGAGGTGTCAAGAATTTTTCAATGTTATATATGGTCTGTAATCACCTTTATACCTCTCCCTCTTCTAGTCCCTTCTTTTTTTATTACTTTTCTGTTGGCTATAATCCCATTCTAAATCTCTTACTATTGTTCTTACAAAACAGTTCGATAATAATGAGTAATTTAGTTTACGGGGAAGCCAAGTTAAACAAGAAAATGAAATAGGAAGTAGAAGAGGTAGGGTTTCAAGAGAAATGGGGTGGGAAATATATATATATATATATATATATATATATATTAATTTTGAGAGTTGGAGTATTAGAGTGACCCTTAACAGTTCTGTTCAAGTTTTTTTTTTGGGGGGGGGGGACCAAGGACCCAATTTACTACATTTCTAACCCAGCCTCCATTTACTAGTTATATAAATGACAGTTTTAACATAAGTTGGGGGGGGGCAAGGTAGTCTAGAAAATTTGCATAGTCCTGAGGATAAATGAATGGAACCAATATTGGATGCACCAGGGTCCTGTCCTCCTGTTGAGTATTTTTCTTGTTGAACTTTCTTTGATATATATTTTTTTTCAAAACTATTATTAGCAAGAAAAACTACTACTTGAAAAAGGAGAAGAGATGGGGGTTAGGAACTCCATAGTAATCACCCCCAGAGGCTTCATTTCATCTCATGTTGTCTCCATTTTCCTCATTTTCAAATGCATTAATAAAAGATAATAAGGGATTTTTCGTAGTATTCAAAATTTTCCTTATATCGTTCATTTGTCATAATAGTGCATCATCCTTTTTATCCCTTTTTAGAAATCTTAGTAAATGAAACTAAACTGTGGTTGCAACCTTGCAGGCAGTGCCTAGGTAGCCTAGTAAACCCCTGGCTTTTATCACTAAATTCTGTGGGTCTCTGTTATTGCCTCTTTTCTGCTTTATCTGACCCGAAGTTGCAAACAATGCAGGTAAGTGATTTTGGGCTGTCACGCTTGAAGCATAATACATTTTTGTCATCCAAATCCACTGCTGGAACGGTGAGAACAAAGATATCCTTCTATAACTCTTTGTGTATAATAGTGTTAAAATATAAGATATTTTTGTCATCCAAATTCACTGCTATATCTTCAAGAATCATAAACCAATTTGCAGAGATGGCTATCATTTTCATTACACAGATGTGCTCACTTATGAGTGACAAGATATTTCCCAGTCATCTTGGCATTTCTCCTTCTGATAAGTGTTTTTTTTAATACTTTAGCCAGAATGGATGGCACCAGAAGTACTCCGCAATGAACCATCCAATGAGAAGTGAGTTAATTTACTGAAACTCTTCTGTTTTTCTTTTTTTTTTTTTTCTGTAGTGTAACACAACTCTGGTGTAATATATTTCTTTGACTGCTAGTTGTTTCTCTTTTTCTTTTTATCTTTCTTTGCTTAGCTTTGCCTGCTTGTTACCTCTGTTTCATACTTCTCAACCATACCACATACCAATTGCACTTGACCCGGTCAAGATAGAGTTCTGAGGTGGCAGGATACCTTGTGTGTGAAGGGGAAAGGGGGGAGGGGGGGAGTCACTAGAGCACAAAAATACATGTACAAAATACAAAATCAGCAGAGCACAAAAATACAATCAATCTTTCAATTGGCAGCCCAAACTGCTTATTCATTATGGTGTCCTTTATGTTTACCTGTGCAGGTGTGATGTCTATAGCTTTGGAGTCATTTTGTGGGAGCTTGCAACATTGAGAATGCCTTGGAGTGGGATGAATCCAATGCAGGTGGTGGGTGCAGTTGGGTTCCAGAACCGCCGGCTTGACATCCCAAAAGAAGTTGATCCCTTGGTTGCTAGAATAATTTGGGAATGTTGGCAGACGTAAGATTGAAAATCCCTCTCACTCTACACGCACACTCGCACACACAAAAAAAATGCACAACTATACACGAGCTTACAAAAAAAAGGCTGCTTAGCACAGAATCTAACTTTCTGCATTTAAAAGAATGAATTTTCTATCTTGAATTTGGTGCTAAGGATTCTATTCTTTTCCAGTGAGCCAAACTTGCGCCCCTCATTTGCACAGCTCACATCAGCTCTCAAGTCCTTGCAGCAGCTTGTCGTCCCTTCCCCTCCAGACCAGCAAAGTGCTCCTTTGCCCCAGGAGATTTCAGTAAATTCAACATCATTAAGTAGCGTTTCAGCTTCTCAAATGTGAATATAAATGAAAATAAGCTGTTGCTTTTTTGTATGGTGAGGGTAAATAACTGGAAAAAATTATTTTGGCTTTGGATTGGTGTTGGGTCAATTATATCATTGTATGTATTTGCTGCTGCTGCATCTAAAGACCGCAGCAGCAATTTTTGTACAGGGAATCGGGAATGCCCATTGTTCCATTCCGGGAAGACAAACTGTGGTCTATATGTCTATATGCTTTGTAGAGGGGAAAAGTCATCAAACATTCATACTTATAATCCCATGGTGTAATTTCAATACAAAGTTCCGTTTGCAGTTTCATGTAAGTAATGTGGTTTTGACATTTTTTTTAGCCAAACTGGAGAAAATATTGTAGTTATTAGTTTATTACTAGAATTCAGGCATACGGTCCTGTCATAATCATTCAATATGGGCTACCTCTACCTGAACTGCAAATGGGATGGCGTTGATCCATATGCTATTTACATCATTTATAGGGCCATTAAGCTTAAACATTCGCCATACAATTGACCTCTCTAAAGTCTAAACTGGTGAGTGGTTACCATGTTAGATTCTTTTTATAGGAAAATGGTAATTTTTCATCAAGGAAGATAAAAAGTATACAGGCACTATCCCTAGGAATGAGAAAACTGACCCCTCAAGGGAATACAAGATTACAATTCAGTCCAAAGGAATCCACCCCTAGTTGTCCCTTGTTTGGTTAGTGTATCAGCTAAGCCATTTGGTTGTTCCTCATGACCTGTCTGAGTGTCCAAATCCCCAAACCATCTGTTTATATCCACTTTATTACCCATTTGAGTCCCCTTCCACTTCAATTTGCTGAAAGTCTGATAATCATCCTCTCCTATAGTCCCTGGATATAATGCCCCAACTTTCCCTTCACCAGCCCTTGTAACTCCACCTATGCTTGAAGGACCTGAATTACCAAAGGAGTTTTTGTCAAAGTTTAATTTAAATCATTGACAAGATGATGGGGACTAGACTTCCTGAATAGTAACCCTTGAAGTTGAGAAAGCCACTGCAGCATCCCAGCTCCTTATAATATTATTAAAGGTAAACTCCCAGAACAAATCCAAGGTTCTTAGCCAATGTTGCCCGAACTATTGTAGCTCGTGGCTCTGCACATGGTTCTGCTCCTTTTCTTTGATTGTTTGAAGTAACTTGCATTAAGGAGGCCCACAACATAAGAGAGGAGGTGTCCACTTGCAATCAAATAGAGGAAAACTAATTCCAAGTACAAAATGCAAATAAACTGGAGATTAATAAGTGGATTTCCGTCTTATAACAGCCATGACAAAGATACAAATATTAGGTTTAAGACACTAACTTGACCTTTTTGCAGCAAGTCACAAGTGTTTAGTGTGGCTTTAACATGTGGCTAAAAAGAATAGTAGGCTTTTAATTTTACCTTCCTTGAAGTGCAATATCACTTGATTTTCAATGAATGCAATGTTGTCAACAGTTTGATTAAAAAGTTAGCATATGCCTAATATTATTGTTGGCCTGGAAATTTCCTCTATTAATGAAAACAAAACATTAAAGGCCATGAAGCTATAGCATTACTCTTAATGAACATTTGTACATTAAATTGTAACCATCGACTATCAGAGGTGAAATATTAGACCTTTAGAATCTGAAGAGACAACAGACAAGTGATAGGAAGAGTTTATAAAATAGCATTCATTTTGATATTCACTGAGGTCGAAATTATAACACATTTATAAGGACTGAGGACCATTTATTACACCAATACAAAGAATTCAGTATTTAATGTGCCAATGCCTGGGAAAGGCAAGAAACCGGAACATTATTGATTCGAAGGGCAAATTTGTTTTTCCCGAGAAATCAGGATGAAGTAATTACCTGATTGATGTCGTTTTTGTGCAAGGTAATTAAACATGCAAAGATGCTGGACGAGAGCAAATGAATCTGTTACATTAGAAATCAAAAAACAAAATCTGTTACATTAAAAGAGAAACACCTCATAAAACAATGGTCCATCCAAATCTATTGCCCTTTGCCAGTGCCAGAAAAGGGACCATCTGAAATTCTGAAATAGTCATATGCTCATTCTTCAGATCAAATCTTTTTTTTTTTTTTTTAATGAAATTATGATACACCCGAAACCCCTATAGGGGCCGTTAAGTAGTGCAACACCACACAAATAACCCCTTTCCAAAGTCAGGTGGTATCGAGTCTGCATCTCTGCTTGCTGGAACAAATTCTTTTTATACAAAACTTGCATCGATGTGCAAACACCACATCGATTTTTTCATTTTAAAAAATGGCAAATATGTCATTCTCACATTTTCATTTACTCTCACTACAGTAGAAATAGGAAAAGAAACGGTTGTATCTCCCACGATCCAGCAATTTTATCTCCCACAAACTATTTCATGCAATTGAATTCCCACCCTGATTGAAACTATCCACCAACGGTTTGTCTCCCGCAAAGTGAACGTTTCATCTCCCACAAATTGTTCCCTGGAACATCTGAGTACCCTGCAACATAATTCGTTTTCTTTACATCTGAGTACCCTGCAACATTAAGATTGCCGAGTTGTCTATCTGAGGAAGAGACGAAGAGACTGAAGGTTTGGAGAAGAAAGAAAAGAAGAATCATCTGTTGTTTTTTAAACTGTCTTGCTCAATGAACCGCCCAAATCGATTAGTAACGTAAAAGATGAAGTCCAGGAAGACAGATGTATGCTGCTTCAGTGGCGTAAAAGATGTCTAGGAAGACAGAAGTATGTTGCTTAATTTCTATTCTTTCGAACGTATCGGCATGTTGCTTAATTTTCAGGGAGCTTGGCCGATTTGGATCGCTCCTCTGACGATACCTCTGTGGATTCTCGGGGTACCTATTTCAAATTTACTCATTTCTTTCCTTCATCTCGTTCTAAACCATCCACTCTTTTTCATTGGTCATTTGCTATGACAACCGGGTTTTATTTCCCTGGCTGTTTCCTGCATTGACCACACTAGATGTCTATAGAATGTTTGTTGTCATTTAGTACTGTACTCATTAAGCGTTTCTTCTTCAGCTTGGTTTCTTTTATTATGCGTTCCTGGCTTTTAATTTTATTATTATACACTTGTTGATTTGGTTTTCTCGAGGTGTTTGTTTCATACAATGGCTTCACTACCTCTTTCTTCTCTACTCGTGACATGAGACCCTGTTTGTATTCCTTGAATGTGTACTCTATTTTAACTTGATTTTTTCTTTTCTAGGTTATATTTTATGTTTGTATTAGAGGAGACCAGCCAAGGCTCTAAGCTGGAATTTACAGAGGACGAGGAAACGCTTATTTACAATCTGCTTGGAGACAGGTCGGTCTGATGCCTTTTCCCCATTTCATTAGTTCCTTCGTCCTTTTAATCTTCTGGGTTTTCGCTCTTCCAAAGCCTTTTTTTAATCTAAGATTTCAATATCATTTGATCAGGTGGTCTCTAATCGCTGGGAGAATACCAGGAAGAACAGCGGTAGAGATCGAGAAGTACTGGACTTCTAGGTACTCAACAAGTGAATGAGAGAATCTTTATGGTGTTTTCTCTATGAAAACAAGCAATTTTGGGGCGTATTGATGCAGAGTATGCTGCAAGACAGAGGTATGTTGCTTAATTTTCAGGGAACTTGGATCTTTGGACCTGATAACTGCCACCCATCAAGTATCGGCAAAGGTTGGAATCAACATGCAATTGAAAATTGAAGATTCCATCCTGATCAATTGCTAAAATGTGATCCTGTCGGACTCAAACTTCATGGAACTATTTCCTGAACAACCGCATAACTATGATCCATTTTTGGAGTCAAGTTCTGACAGTTGTTCCATAAGAGATGACGTTCTTAAAGATATACAATTGAAAGTTGAGAATATTGTTACTGATCAATCTGAGATTACATTCCTATTGATGCTGTCCAAAGGCAGAGAAAGAGAAGTATTGGCCAGCTTCGGATACAGTGGCTGAGGAGTCTACTGCTATTATTGATGAGATTTCAGCAACCAAGGAATGCATCCCATGTTTGGTTGGGGCTCCAACGTCCCTTGAGATTTCTGCTACTGATCAAACTCTCGCCAATGTTCTACCAGGCTTAAGCCTTGGAGCACCTGGATCAGATTCCAGGCATCATTTACCACTTCAGATTCAAATGACATCGAGAAAGTCATCGAACAAGAAGCAAACACCAATTCGAAAGGCAATCAAGATTTTGAAGGATGACAAGAAGAACATTGACAGATAACAACACCACCAAGAAGCTGGAGTCGGGTAGTGGACTGAAAAATGCCAAGTTATTAACTATCATTGCAGAAGAGAAGGAGAACAATGCCAAGTTATTAACTGCATAGAAGGGATTCAGTAGCACAGGGTTAGGAAAGCTGAGGAAGACTCATAAAGAGAAATTGCAGAACAGCAATGGTAAGGTCAGAAGACATCTATTAGTGGTCGGGGAGTGGTTCACATTGGCCTTGTTTTTTTGTTTTGGTTTTAATCTTGATATGCATAATTGGCTCACATATTTGTTTGGTAATTGCAGGGACAAGAGTGGCAATAGCAACAGTTTCAAAAGACAAGAACAGCTCTGCAAACTCTAATAGAGAACCGGTTGATGTTGGGAGATACAAAAAACTAAGTCAAGATACTTGCTATTGGCGTTGGTGTGGTTGTCATGGCAGTGGGGTTAAAACTTTGCTTTGCCCCTTATTTTTTTTTTGGTAGTAACATTTTCATGGGACCGTTAAGTGGTTAAGAGTTGGATGTTTTTATTTCCTTGCTCTTTTTTAGTGTTATTAATGTTTAGAAACAACGAAAGGGGATATTTCTGAAATGAGATAGAGAGAGAAGATGCTTTTCTACAGGATAGTAAATTGAATTGGATGATTTGAATACAATCTCAAATCAGAAAAATTCTAAGTAGTAAGCACTTTTCTTCTTTTTATGGCTTGTAAATCAATCAAGAATACCAAGTGTGGAGGACCTACCTGTTCTGTCAGCAAGGAAAGTAACCCCACTGAATTCTATAGGTTTAGTTTTGCTTTAAAATAGTATAAATGTTGGACTGTTCTTCTCATAATCTATTATCAAATTTACAGTTGCCTCGAATTTAACACCATTTGGGTGATTTTGGCACTATATCAACTCTGACTGAGAGTAGCCTCACTCAGCTTTCTTTGGGGTAACCTCAATTTCATTGTAACTAACCACTAACCAATAAACTATTTAATATTAGCTTATCCTAAATTTTTTTCATCATTTTATGAGTTGAAAACAAAAGGTTACTATCTATACTAAAAGGAAATGTTGTACAGTCAAGGCCTGAGTGTGCGATAACTGGAATCACTCAGTAACCTCTCTTTTCAATTGTTGTTAAAATGCCCATTATTTGCAAACATGCTGCCACTAAATAACCTCTATTTACAAATTTTGAAGTTGATACTATAGAAATATTAAGGGGTCACTAAATTTTGAATCCGACCTTACTGTAGGGATTGATGTGTCCAAATTATTCAATCTCAACTGCTTGTGCATCAAGCAACTTTTGTATACTTAATGCTACAAACCATATTATCAGAGGTGAAGCTATAAGTGGCCGGCCCATTTCATTTCGCAAACTTTATTCACTGGAGGTCTTATGCTGGAAATGCCTTTTTATTTTGTTCATTTAAAGTAATCATGGTAATAAAATTCTGATGGTTACAGTTTGGGCAACTGATGTTAGTTATTGAGGGAATAATTAGAGATGAGAGGGGAAACATTGTTCTGAGCTTTTCAGGACCATTGGGGTTAGAAATTCTTTAAGAGAGAAATTTTAGCAATTCTATAAGGGCTAAAATTTGACTGCTATCTATATAGGAATACAAGTTGAGGGAGAATGTTAAGTTGTCGTTAACTGGTTGAAAATTGGGGATGATGTGCCATGGATACTGCACTTTTCTGATTAGACATGCTAGATCTTTGGGATCTAACCTAAACTGCTCATTCATTTGGGTTCCTAGATCAACAAATAGTATGGATGACTCATTAGCTAGGGCTGGTGTGTCTTGGAAATATTTTTGTTGGGGTGAGCCTGGAGCAGGGGGATCACCATACAGATTGAGCATTGTTCTTATTATTAATAAAATTCTATTTTCAGTTGCATCTAAAAAGAGTTTACCTTGAATCATTATTTTCTTTATGGTGGTTGCCATTGCAGGCTTGGGGGGCTTTGTTGCATGCAGAGCACTTTCACAGAGACATAGTGACCCAACTAAAGGTTTAAGTGAAAACTTATAGTAAACTTTAAGTTATGTTTGAAACTCACGAATGTGATATAACTGGGCCGGCCTATCCAAAAAGAAAATAAATAAAGAAATTTTTGGTACATAAAAAAATATTTTAAGAATAAATTAATATCCAAGAAGAATCTTATCTACTTATTCCATCAAATTTTTTCCATAGTTTTTGGCATTTTTAATGTGAGAAATGATTTATGGATAGGATGGTGATGGATTTGTTATGGGAGAGGGAGCTGGTGTCCTGCTTTTAGAAGAACTAAAACATGCTAAGATACACTTTACCAAGTGTTGTTTTTATGAATAATTTCATTAGACTGGGTTCCTTGGAGAAGCTAGAGAAGAGATGTCAATTATGTAATTGCACATGCTACATCAACACAGGCTGATGATCTCAAACAGTACCAACCGCTTATTCGTTGCTTAGGTTAGAATCCTGAGGTAACGTGAATGCATTTTATTTCTGTTTTCATTTCTTTCAATTATATAATGAGTTTTCACAATCACCATATGGCATGCTTGGTTATACCTTGATTATTGGAGCCAAGAGTGAACTCCACAAAATCAATGATTAATCACCTACTAGGAGCCGCACGTGTTGTTGAAGCTGTTGCAACAGTACAAGTGAGCAGTTATATGGTTTTTGATATTTCATTCTTAAAAGTAAGGAAAGTGCCCTTGTAGTTTACATCACACCAAATACTTTAATTTATATGATGGGCTTAATGAATATTCAATCATGGATATATTTAATTTACATCACACCAACTACTTTTTGATTCCTCCATTACTTCCCCAAAGGGACAAATTACTAATACCAAACCTTTGAGGAAAACCAAGATGAAACTCCTTAGGAAGCACAAGGATTTCTATTTGTTTATTATGTGATCAATAAGACAAATTTTAGTGATAAAGAACAAATTTGGGAGGATAGAACAGAAGGAAAAAGTAACAAATAAAATATTATATATCAAGTATTATTAATATAAAAAACAGTCAGATATTACAATTGTAATATAAAATGAAACCATTGAAACAAGATGCAGAAGTATATTGTTTACTGAAGTCTAAATGACCAGGAATCTTTCAAATAGTAAATTAGTTTGAAACCAAAAGGAATTCCCATGTTCTTYCAAACCTGATTGGTAAATTAAAGAAGAAACTAAGGACAGACCAACACGATTAGACTAAAGAAAAAACCAACGACCAACTATCTCTTCCAACCATATATTCATGAAACAATTTTTGGCACACAAGATCTTGACACATGTTCAAAATAAGCCTTCTAATGGGTTGAAACTAAAAGATTATAAGATTGATGTTTTATTACTAATCAGGCAAAACTGCAAAAAAAAAAGGTGGGATTCAGGGCTGATGTGGACTGTGGGAGTGCACATAGGGTCAGTCCAGGGGATCCCTATCTTATAATAGGCCAGAAGATTGTAAATTACAGAATTGGGTGGTCATCTAGGGAGTTTCCTTAGTTGACCCAGAATCTGTTCAAAGACACAGGCGCACACACACTCTTATCCTCAATTGACATATGGAGCATTTTATGCTAATTTTCTACAAGATAAGCTAGTTGGTTAGGTAAGCTTGCCCATACTTTCAATTTTGAAATATCAAAATACTTGCAATAACTTTGGCACAAAATCAATTTTCTCACTGTGTTTCTTGCTGTTATGTGCCCTCTGATCATTATCAACATTATCACCAAAGAAATTTCGACGCTGCCACCTCGATATCAGCTTAGTAGAAATGCTTGTTGATAAGCTGCATTCTCCAAGGAGCAAGGATTAATTATCCCAATGCTTTCTCAATATTCTGCCATATGAAAACCACAACAACAAATTTCAATAAACAAAAAGACATATGTACACTATGCTATAGACGCCTAAAAACACAGAAACATAAATGTTTATGATGAAACAGAGTAAGGAAAGTGTGCTAGTGTCTCTAACACGAGGTTTCCTGTTGTAGTACATCTAATTCTTGGCCATAAAAATAGCCCAACGAAAATTGATGATTTCTAAGGACTTATTATTAGATGAGAATCAGTCCTCTAATATCAGGTTTAAAAACAGTGATTAACAGTACAAATCAGATCTGAATGATACTGCAAGAGTTGTGTATGTCGAAGAGAAGAGGTGAGAGAAGAAGAAGTCGAATTAGTCTTCCTTCTCCTTTAACCCTATTTTTTATTAATCTCTAAAGCAAATTGATGATGACAAGTATACTCTTAAGTGRGCGGCCAGCTTGGCAGTTACATAAAAAAAATAAAATAAGAACAAATAACATGCCCATTAAGTGAGGCCCATCAACATAAAATAAAAGATAAAATAAAGGATATCACATAAGAGGCTGTTAGGGCCCACTCAGCCCAGTCTCTTTACACTCCCCCTCAAGCTGAGCATAAATGTCAATCATGCCCAACTTGTTTACATAGTGTGTCAATTTCCCATTGGGAACCCCCTTGGTCAAGATATCAGCCAATTGTTCTTCTAATGTGATAAATGGTAAATAGACTTCTCCTGAAGAGACTCTTTCCCTTATGAAATGCCTATCAACCTCAATGTGCTTAGTTCTGTCATGTTGGACCGGATTATGTGCAATGTTGATAGTAGCTTGGTTGTCACAATAGAGCATCATTGGTTGCTTGTAGTCCACCCCCAATTCCTCTAGAAGGGATCGTAGCCATAGTAATTCTGACACACCATGAGACATTGCCCTGTATTCTGCTTCAGCTGAGGATCTAGCAACTATTGATTGTTTCACACTCCTCCAAAACACAATATTCCCAGCAACCAGAGCACAATAACCAGAGGTGGATCTTCTGTCATCAATACATCATGTCCAATTTGCATCAGTAAAGGCTTCCAGCTTCATGTGACCATGCTTAGCAAATAGAATACCTTTCCTTGGAGTACCTTTCAAGTAACATAGAACCCTTTCTGCAGCAGCTAGATGAGTATCTCTGGGAGAATGCATAAACTGATTGAGAACACTTACTGCATAGGAAATATCCGGCCGAGTCATGCAAAGGTATAACAACTTCCCAAGTAGTCTCTGAAACACTCCCTTATCAGACAACGATGCACCATCTGTGGCAGAAAGCTTATGATTAGGATCAATGGGAGTGGTGATGGGTTCAACTCCAAGTTTACCAGTGTCAGCAAGAAGATCAAGGACATATTTGCGTTAAGATATGAATATACCATCCTTAAATCGAGCAACTTCAATGCCCAATAAATATCGAAGATCTCCTAAATCTTTAATTTCAAATTCAGAATGGAGAAATGCTATTAGTTTACTGGCCTTAGGGTGTTCACGGGTCGGGGTGGGTCGGTTTCTTGGGATTTTCCCAACTGAACCAACCTAGTCGGGTTAGCTAAGATGGGAACCGAAACCGACCAACTGACAGGCCAAACCGACCTGGTCGGTTTGAGTCGGGTTGGGTCTGCTTGGTCGGTTTTGCTCCTGTATAAAGCCAAGCCAAATAAAATCTGATTTAGTTGATAATTTGAATATTTGATATTCAAGAGTCCAAAATAAATCTAAATTTAATTCAGGTAAGGAATAAAATCAATAAATTCTTTATGTAAAAACAAGTGTCAAGTAAGAAATAAAAACAATAATAAATTGAACATCATTTCAGCTATCTCCTATGATAAAATTTAAATGAAAAG